TTTTCATTCTTAGGAATGTCTAAATTCAGTTAAACTAGCAATTCCGTATTATATTTATAAATCTTTATAACATTATACAAAAATTAGATTTTTCTTAAAAATTGAAATTTTGCCGGGAATGGGGCTTTAAGTTCCTATTCAACCTCTGAAATTACTATAAAACTTATTTACAAAGAATATTGTATAAATCATCTCAATCTCCCCTCCCCTCTCCCACCAACCTTATTATCTTCTTAAGCATTCTCCCAAAAATTCTAGAGTGCCTCTTTATTACAAGATATCTTTAGAGAACATTAGCAAGAAAAGCTAATTTTTCTCTAGTACACTGATAGGATTCCAGACTTAATGATAACATCCAATCTAATGTGTAGTGTAAATAATGAGAGTGAAATGCACTCCATTCTAGAATAACATTAACATGTGTAATAAAAGTATAATTACCAACCTTGCCATTGCATACATGAGAACCCATGCAATCTCCGCCAATACAGGCAAGTTGTCAGCTTCAGCATTAACATGTTGTAATAACATGGGCGCAATCCCGGCACTGACCAAAACTCTTTTAAAAGACAAAAAAATTAAGAAAAATATGTACTGTAATTAAACTTAGTTTAAAAAAAGTATATTACATCATGGAAGTTTAAATGTTCTTTTGAGTTGTATATGTTTTATTTGAGAAATTTGCAACCACTGGTTTATAGTTTCCAACAACCCACTTATGCTTCTATCATATTGTAGGCACTAGAGCTGCATTTGAATATGACTTATTTCCAAGCATTACTATAATCATTCCTGAAGGAGAAGGCTCAAGAGTTGTCCGGTGTCAGAATACAGCAGCACCCATCAACTGCATTAATTGAATTACATAGCAAGAACATTTTTCATGGTTGTGTAGTAGAACAACTATGGTCAAAAATGACCTCTGTGAGGACTTATGGAACAAATTTTGTTTGTTCAGTAAAAGAGGATAATAGTGTTATGGATTGTTTGTTGTTGGTAGGACAAAACAACCAAACATTACAAGCACAAGAACAACAACTACCATAAACAAGTCAACTGCCCGGTCTCATAAGAGCCGATTGGTAATGGATTACCTTCATAAAATATGGTGTTTAGAAAATAAATATAAGTTTATCGTTATGAAGACCAGTAGCATTCTGTACCATATGTAGACTGGGTATACACTATATGCCGATTTCACCTAAACTACAAACTAAAGGAATTTAAAAAAAACATATTTTACGTAGTGATGCACAGTGCTGAAAATAAGTACAAGAGGAAAGTGATAGAATGATTGACCGAAAGGTCCACTGATTAATCTCAGATAAGATAGTATAATACATACTCCAAGTATCGAAATGCACGCCATCGTGTCAGGATTCAATTTCGACATTAATTATGTCATCATTAGGAATGAAAAATTATCCATATTTGCAAGCTTATATGCACAAGTACCAAAGGTGTTTGACCAATCAAAACATTACCCCTAGTAGGTGACATAGTTTGAATAAAAACTAAAGATCAGAGCATTCTTACCCTACTGATCAAAGCTACCTACAAAAACAAAGAAAGCTCCTTTGAAGCTTTCAGCCCATTGTTAAGCAATGGGTGTAGCCTACGTATAGCAAACGCTTCTTTAAACAATAGTATAGACCAATTCTGCGAACTGTCAATAATGTTAGCATTAGAAAATATTAAACCTAATTTATTACTTGCATCACAGGCTACATTATCATTTTCAAGTATACCTTGTAAACCTAAAACATTGGAATGCCTCACAATTTTGTATATGATCATTTATAACACTATCAGATCGTGAAGAATGTTCTTTAAGTCTAGTTATTAAGCATCTATCTGTCTTACCAATATAATCACTATTACAACCTGGACAATTAAAATGATAAAAAGAGCTCCTATATTCCTTAGGGGTTTGATCTTTAGTAGATATAAAATGAGAGACATTTTTGTACTGCCATAATGTTATGAATTTTACCTATTTAACCATGGAGGTATAAAATGATTTAACTAAGTGTTTCTTTACTTTGTTTAAGCATCTACGTAAAATGGATTCACCTGCCTTTCCTAGATAAGACAATTTAACCCAAATCTTAATCAAGCTATCATCAGTAGGCCTACGTATACATTTAGGTTTATTTTATTTATCATGGAATGATAGCTTTAGCCAGATTGGAAAAGATGTATTTTAAGGAACTTTGGAAAGTTAGGAACACGGTAAAATTCCTTATGGAAAATCCAAAACGTTATTTGTTATTTTTATATTATAGCACATTTTCTTTAAGCCCTGTCCAGACTATCAAATTTCATTTGACAAAAACATGTGACATGCCTAAATATGGTCATGATGACATCACATCATGACCATATATAGGCACATCATGACCATATATGGGTATACAACAGTTTTTTTGTCAAGGAAAATTTGATATTGTGGACAAAGCTTAAGGTTATGAAAATGCTTTGTTTTCCTGGTCATCGGGTCCACATGATTGCTGAAGTGTTGCTATCTAGCGCAGTAGCAGGCAACCACACCAGGTACCAATTTATACAGTACTTCTGGGTGAAGAGAAGCAACGCAGATATAAAGTCCCTTGCTCAAGGAGACAAGCTAAGTGCACAGCCAGGGATTGAAACCCTGACCTCACGCGTGTTTGGGAATCCAAAACATTTCGCTGCACCAAACCACTTCCACAAGCACAAGTTGTGGTTTTTTGATACATTACATCTCTGTCAAATATTTTTTTTATAGTGTTAACTCTACTCATTCTGACCAACTTTTTTTCCATCAACTTTCATTATTACTTTCCACAACCTCTTCATCCTTATTATACTGACAGGTCAAACAAAACATTTTCACGATGAAACGAAATAACGAGGTGTAAAATCAATGTAACGTCTACACATTACTTCATAATGAAACACATTGTTGGGTTAAATGCTGTGTTCGTGACTAGCTAATGCCAATTGATAGATTGTCTCTGGGGGTCTGAATAGGAAATGGTAAATGTTACCAGCTAAAAATGTAATGAATTTATGAATAACGGTTAGGGCAATGGACTAGAAAGTCAGGTTGGTATGCAGTATTGTAATAATTGTGTAAATTAGAGTGTATCTAGTTTCTGTTTAATGGTTTATGAGACGCCCTTGCAATTATATTTCAATGTAAATATTTTACAAATGACACATACTGATTACAATTAATACTAGTCAATTTAATGGTCACAGTGGTAGTGCTATGGTGGGGGAAGACTCATTAAAGCAATCATTGGACCAAAAAAGGGAAAAATGTATTATTATAATGAATGAGCTCTATATATTACTCATGTAAATTATTTCATAAATGAATATCATATTAAATTATGGCAGACATTGTGATGCCACGAAATAAAATTTGATTTGACATTTTTATTTTTAGAAAAAAATTAACTTGAAACATAAAGAACTAATTACCTACCACGTCTAAAAGGGATATGACAAAGCAGAACTATTTTTGTGAGAGATGCCACAGGATGAAAAATTTTATGACAAAAAAACAAACCATTTTTCATTCTACAAAACTGACGGACATTTTGAGGCCAGTGAGTGCTCGCAAATCCAGATTGCATGTATTCTCAAATCAGGTATGTACAGTATTACTTTAATTCTACCTACCACTTTGCATGATTGGACTGGAGTCATATGCATGACATTAATCAACACGGAAAGCATAGCTTGACTTAATTTTGACAAGTTGCTCTGACATGTAGAAATTACTTTTACGCTAAACTTTCAAACAGATGTTTGTATAAATCGTAGCATCGTAAGAGCCACTGAGTAGAGCTGAGTTACTACTTGTTTACTTTTAGAAGCGTCAAGCTTTCATGAGCATAAGCACAAACGCAACTAGTTAAAGCACCTCACAGCTGATGGTATAAATTATCAAACTAATAAGTATAACTAGGACTTTGAAAGTTGACTTAGGAAAGCAAATTGCTTGCAATTAGATTACTATTATACTTTCCAATCAATGATTCGTGGGTATTGCATCGTCTTTTTATTACCTTACGTCAGCATCAGGTTCTCGAATAAAGTTCGATATAGCGAAGGCTGCCGATTGGACGACTCTAGGCACCGGAGACTGCAACAAAAGGAAAATGTATTTAGGTTTTCAAGTACATAACAGCAGTGATCTAACAACAATATATTAATAATTTATGATAATAACGATTGTAACATGAAAGTAACAAGAGACTAAAAGAAATGAAAACAATAAAAATATAATTTTATATAGTGATGAGAATATTATACAGATATTGCCTGCTTAGAGGTGTAATATAACATTTGATATCCCTGAGGGAATTATATTTTTTTCGAAAGATTATATTTTCCCGAAGCGCGTAGCGCTGAGGGAAAATATAGTCCTGAGAAAAAAATATAATTCCCAAGGGGATATCAAATGTTATTACACCGATAGAAAAGCAATATCTGTTATATTACATAGCCAAAAATAGATGCAAATAATTAACTGAACACATAACTTTAAATATCAAGAACTTTTATTTAACTTTTACACAATATCTGTCCTATTACATAGCCAAAATACTTCATATTATCGTCACTTTTTAAAAATGTTTCTGTTGTAGTTCGGAGCGTAGCGTTATCATTGATCGTTTAGCCTACAATTCACCGTTTGCTCTCCTTACCTCAGCGTAGAATGACCGGAGAAACGTAACGCGTTGAGCTCCGTTGCTGTGAAATTTTCAATGCAAGTAGGCTAGGCCTAGGCCTAATTTGATGATTCCTCGGCCTTACAATATTCTATCCAATTCGTCTTTGTCGAGAGATTTAAACTTATTTGAAGTCGCCATTTCCGAAGCGCTAGGCTTTCCACATTCACAATTCGTGAGCGATCGATCATGTGCTCGACTAGCATTCTCTACGGGCGCAATGCGGGTGTAATCCGGTGACGTCAGAGACCGGTCACTTTTCAAAGTTATATTTCCCTACGGGGAAATATAATGTTTCCGATCCTCGTAGCGCTAGTCACGTGATGCCATTTCGATCAATCACGTACTCATATTTACATAGGCTATGTAATATAACAAAATAATCAAATGTTATGTGTCGCTATAAAAAAACACAAGTGTTTGTATCGCATCAAATAAATACAAAAAAACTAAACATAAATTGTTTAGGTTTCCTTGTATTCATATGATACGATGCAAACACCTTATGTTATTAGGATTTTCACAAAATCTTCCAAGAGAAGCATGAACATGGTACCATCAATAAACAATATTACAGGTACAGTACTCGATTGAGATTTCTAATGTACATTTAGATTATCATCTAAAATGAATGACAAATTTTAATCACATTTTAAAATCATAGTAGAAAGCATATTTGCTATGGAGATTGGAACATTTACTTGGTGACTAAATTCACCGTAGCTGTCTCCTACCTGTCATCTAGTCTTGTAGATGACAGGTAGGGGGAACTAGACAATCTGTGAGTGTCAGCTGTTGTTGCAAGTTCTATCCCCTTGGATATTATCTTGAATCTCGCATCAAATACGACTCCTCTCCTCCCTCTAGGGATTTTTCAAAATTAATTCTGGTTATTGAGGAATATTCTTATGAATGTTATGCTATTTGCTTTGCGTGTATGACTAGAAAAAGACAGTTTCCTGGATTCTTAATTCCCAGCAGGACTGGGAACACTAGTTCAATATTACTAGGAGCAAACTTTTTTTTTCTCTTTTGTGGACTAGGGGCAGGTGGCGGCCCAGGATACATTTTTGGGGGGTAAGCTTTTCGACAAAGGGGGGATTGAGCTTGTTGCCGAGGAGGGGGAGGGTTTGGTCTAATAGTGACCTGTGGATGGCTAGAAATGCTACTCTACGACTGTGAATGACATGTTTTGTCTTGGTGTAGGCCTATCTTTAAAGATTTTTTTTGTCCGACTGCCCAACGAGCTCGGCCAATGGGAGGGCTTGTCTTGTCCAATGGGGAGGGGGGTTGTAGACTAAGCCTCCTGCCCCCGCTGGCACCGCGGGGGAAACTAATACTCTGACCATACTATCACATTTTATGTGGAAAAAACCTGTGATATGCTTATATATAGGTGTAATATGTCATCATCATGCCCATATATGGGTGTAATATGACATCATCATGCCCATATATGGGTGTAATATGACATCATCATGCCCATATATGGGTGTAATATGACATCATCATGCCCATATATGGGTGTAATATGACATCATCATGCCCATATATGGGCACATCACATTAATTTGTGACATAAAATTTGATAGTGTGGACAGAACTATTGAAATATGAAGATATTTATTTCTCAATGATGTGTTCGATTTTGGGAGCTCCACAATATTTCAAATAGGCTGTAAAGTTTGACACACAAAAGTCCATTCATACATTAGATCCAATCAGTTTTAAGGATTTGCAAAAATCCACTGGTTTCTAAAAAAAAAAATTCATTTTTGATAAATTTATATTCATTCTCACAAATGCATTCAGAATAAGTAATTATTCTAATATGGCTAGATAGAAATTATACACTGATTTATGTTATTATTTGCAGTAGTACAAGATTATGTTGCCGGCGGTAAATCAAAAGAACTAATTTAATAATGACGCAGGAGCATAATTTAACCAGTCGCAATTTCTGCATTGCTTTGAGGCATGTTGACCTTTCGCTGATCATGCTTAAATGCCAAATCTGTAGGTTACATGCGAAAGTACAAATGATGTAAAATCAGATGAAGTAGTATTAAATGTTTTAGTGACATTTAGATGATTATTTTAAAGATTATACAGTAATTAAATAAATTAATACCATAAGTGAATATAACAGAGTAGAACAAACTATATTATATAGGTGTAAATTTGCCCTACCTGACGAAGAAATGTACTGAATACTCGGTACGTTTGAAAACCAGTTATTGTCTATTCCATCACGACAATAACAATAATACTATAATATTATATAATGAAATTAAATAATAACTTTAATGGATACTCCTACAATACAAACCAATTTTTACATTAGGATTAACTCTCAACAGCTTTGTACTTTCAGTAATCTTGGGATGGCATTTTATAGGTGCTATTATTCAACTTCTATTTTTAATGCAATTCAATGTAAATTGGAGCAGTTTTCGGCAATTTGCAGTTTTCCCTACATTAACACAATTTTCTATTAAAGTTCAATGCAAATTTCCTATGAAGTGCATAATCAATCTTTGCCCTCAACCTATAGATATTAGGCAATTTGGTTCTTGCTTACAAAAGTGATGTATATTAATAAAAAATCAATAAAAAAAAAAAAAAAAATAGAAATATAGAAAAAAACCTCAAATATTTGTTTACTTTGAAGACCTGTAGGCCTATTTTGACACATAT